GCAGTGACTCTATTTCCAAATAACGTCACGTTCCCAGGTCCTGGGCGTTAGGATGTCAACATACGAATTTGGGGGGGAGGGTGGGGATACAGTTCAACCCATGGCAGGTACTGAGGCACTGTCTAAAGATAAGTAAACCCTTAGGGGCAGACGTGCTTCTCAGCCTGGGCAGGGTTTGTGGCACTGCACATCTGTAGAGTCCCCATGGGTGGAGTGGGGGAAAGCTGGCTCAGGGCACAGCAGGACACAGCTGGACAGATGCCTACCGCATGGAGAGTGGAGATCGGGCAGGTCCCAGAATTGCCAGTGAACTTGCTTTCTGGAGCAGAGTCCCCTCCTAAGTGTTTACAGCACACCCCGAGTCACTGAGTTTCTCTTGATTGCAATGCGCAGACACTGTGTTTCTGACAAATTGAAGGTCTTGTGTGGCAACCCTGGGTCGCTCAAGACCCTAGGTGCCATTTTTCCAACAGCATTTGCTCACTTTGTCTCTCTGTGTCACATTTGGGTCATTCTCGCAACATCTCAAACTTTTCCATGATTGCTATATTTACAATGGTGATCTGGGATCTTTGATGGGACTAGTGCAGTAACATCACACCTAACTGAAGGCTCAGATGATGGTTAACATTTTTAAGCAATAAAGTATTTTTAAATTAAGGTATGTACTTTTGTTTTTTAGACATAATGCAATGGCACACTTAAGAGCCTAGGGTATAGTGTAAATGCACTGGGAAATCAAAAAATTCGTGTGACTTGCTTCATTGCAGCATCTGCTTTATAGTGGGGGTCTGCAACCGAGCCTGTGACATCCCCGAGGTCGCCTGTATCGAGTCTTTACGGGGCCTGGCCCTGCACAAATTGCCATTCCATCCTCATGACGTGAGGAGATGCGTAGCATTTTCCACGTGGAGGACTCAGGCACAGAGAGTGACTTGCCCAAGGGCCCTGCAATGTTGTTTGTAAGAAATATATATGTCTGGTTATCTTGATGACCAAATACACGTTTCTGACATATATTACGTCTTCTTCCGCTGTTCCCTGGCTCACAGCTCCCCAGTCCCTTGGAATTCTGATGGGTCAGAGCAATGTAAGCATCTTTTGTAAATGAAAGTGACCCCTGGCTCCAACCCCAGGGTGACCGGGTGATTAGAAGGTTGGAAATTTCAGTCCCACCCCCTGATTTCTGGTAGGGGGAGGGGCTCGAGGTTGAAAGCAGTCGATTCTGGCCAATGATTTAGTCCACCGTGACTACATCACGAAGCCTCCACAAAAATCCCAGAGGACAGTTTTTTGTCTCTTTTTGGAATTTCCACACTGGAGAACCAGGCTGTAGGTGCCAGAAGCTCCTCTGATCAGACCTCCCCCTGGATCTCTTTCTCTGGTGTCCATTCGCAACCTCTGATGTCCTTTTATAACAAGTTGGTCACCGAGCGAGTGACCGGGTTTTCCTGAGCTCTGTGAGCCATTCTAGCAAATTAACTGCACCTGAGAAGGTCACTGGACTCTAGTTTGTAGCCAGCGGGTCAGACGCACAGGTGACGACCTGGACCTGTGGCTGGCATCTGAAGTGGAGGTTGGTCCTGTGGGACTTTATCTGTGGAATCGAATTCTATCTCCGGGTGGGTAGTGTCCGAATGGAGCTGAATCCTAACACCCTGCTGGCATCTGAGCGTTGCTTCTGGGTGTGGCAGCCGCCCTCCTCACGAATGCCAGCATTTACGGACTGTGCGCTGATCCTCTCCCGTGTAAGTAGGAGGCGGGCTCGATTCTGCAGCTCTCATTTCAAGCCACACGCAATTTCTTGCATCAGCTTTGTTTCTCCAGGGCTCATTGGTCAGGGATGGAAATACCGAGGGTTTAATCGTCCAGGCAGGTGGTGAGTGTGGATTCCAAGCAGGATTGCAGTCAATTGCTGTATCCGGGTTGTGTGTTGACTCAGCCTGAGTCCCAGGAGGGGCCCTCGGCAGCCCCAGGGGGCTTCGAGACGCACAGCGTCCTCTCAAACGGCCAGGCCGCTGCCTCTGATTCTCTGCTTGAGCTGCCAGGCGCCCGAAGTGGCCTCTCAGAGATGGAATTCAATGGCTCAAGGCTGGAAGAAGGGTTCCTGGTGACTGAGAGGGATGACAGTGGGTGTAAAACTGGGCGCCCCACCTGTGTGGGTTTGGACCAATGGCTCAACTTCCAGCCTTGGTCTCTGACCTGTAAGTGAGAGTGTCAGGGCCGAGGGGAGATTCTGCTTGTAACAGAGGGGGCTGTGCTGGATTCCTAGGGCTGCTGTAACAAGTGGCCAGACTTGGTGGCTTTTAAACAACCATGTAGCCTCTCCCTGTTCTGGAGGCCAGAATCCTGCAATCAAGGTGTGGGCAGGGCTGTGCTCCCACTGAGGGCTCTAGGGAGGGTCCTTCCTGGCCCCTTCCAGCTTCTGGTGGCTCCAGGCGGTCCCTGGCTTGTGGCTGCATCCTCCCCATCTCTGCCTCCATCTTCACATTCACATGGCCATCTTCCCCATGCGCTTCTTTGCACCTCTGTCCCAGTGCCTCTGTCCAAATTTCCCTCTTCTTACATGGACACCAGACACTGGATTTCAGGCCCACTCTAACCTGGGATCACCTCATTTTAACCTAATTACACCTACAGAGACCCTGTTGCCAAGTAAGGTCACATTCACAGGCCCTGGGGCTTTGGGGGTACTTTTGGAGAGGGACACAATTCAACTCACACCAGCAGTGAAGCAGCGGGGCCAACTGTCCTCCAAGTCTTATTAATAAATGGGCCCCTTTGTGCCAGGGGCAGAACTGGGGCTGAGGCTGCAGCCTGGAGGAGGTGGGCAAGAACCCGCGCACGGGATTCCAGAAGGGAGAGGGGGAATAAACACACACACACACGAGACGCTACAGCTGACAAGACACAGGGGTGTGAGAACCAAGGATGAGGTGCCTTACATGGGGTAGTCAGGATGGGCCCCTCGGAGGAGGTGTCATGTACCAGACACCCAAGAAGGGGAGAAACCAGAGCAGGAAAAGGACTGGGAGGATCACGCCAGGGAACACGCTAGAGGGACTGGAAGGCGTCAAGGGCCCAGGGTGTCCAAGATCAGGATGGAGGCCGGGCAGATCCTTGGCACTCACAGCATCCTTGGTGTGGACCCTGTCGATTCCAAGGGCATCAGGAAGTCACTGGGCAGTCTTAAGGAGAGTGACTTGACCTGACTTTTTTGTTTTGTTTTAAATCACTACTATAAAAGTAGTAACAACAACAACAAAATCTCTGGCTGATTTGTGGAGAAGGGACCCCAGGGGACAAGGGAGGTAACCCAGTTAGGCACTCTGCAGGGAAGTTCACCCAGCAGGCCCTTGGCTGGCGTCTGGGAACTCGGATTTCTGGACGGTAAGATTATGATGTGGAGTAAGAAATACACATTTGATCTTTATCCCCATTTCTGGCAGACTCTGAAAACCTGTGGAATTTCCTAAGTGATGAGAGCAATAAAGGTGTCTTAATTCACTGTCCCTTTCACCCACGTCTGTTTGTCGAGCAGGTGACTTTGGACCACTTCTAAGGATGTGGGCTGGTTGCTAGGGGAGCCAATCATGGGATTTCAGCCGACACCCCTGAGATCTGGGGAGGGAGAGGCGCTGAAGGCTGAATCGATCACCAATGGCCAATGAGTTAGTAGAACTCAGAACCGGGGAGCTCCGAGCCCCCACCCACAGACATTGCCCCAGGCATCTCCTCCAACTGGCTGGTCCTGACTTGTATCCTTTCATAAGAAACTGGTAATCTAGTGAGTATGTGGGTTTCCTGAGTTCTGCAAGGGGCTCTAGCAAATTAACTGAAGCCAAGGAGGAGGTCGTGGGGACCTGTCAGAAGCACAGGCGGCAACCTGGACTCTCGAGTGGCGTCTGAAGTAGGAGCAGCCTTTGGTACTGAGTCCTTGACCTGCGGGACCGGATGCTACCTCCAGGCAGACAGGGTCAGAACTAAGTCTGAGGGACACCTCATCAGTCCTGGAGAACTGAGTCCATTGCTTGGTGGTGTGGGAGACACCACTTTGCAGGGAGGGCCCCCTCCGTTCCCCGACAAGAGGGGCTCGCCGTGCCTGCACGGTTTGTACCAGCAGTGTGGTTTCTGCGGACGCCTGCTTTCCTTCGGGAAGTTGGGAACTTGGAAGGTGCCAGGCAGAGGGCGCCTGTGTAACCAGCCCCCAGTAAACACACTGGGCACCGAGTCTCCACTGGGCGTCCCTGGCAGAGGACACTTCACGTGTTGTCACAACGCGTCACCATGGGATTCAGCATGTGCTGTGTGACTCCCCTGGGAGAGGGCTCTGGAAGCCGGTGCCTGGTTCCCCTGGGCTTCACCCCACCCGCCTTTCCCTTTTCTGGCTCTGGTGTGTCCTTCCCTGTTAAAAAGTCACAACCATGAGTAACACCACGTGCTGGGTCCTAGGAGTCCTCCCACAGAGTCCCTGAACCTGGGGGTGGTCTCGGAGACCCTGACCCCGCCTGCTGCACACACACATTCCTGGAGAGAGGCCGCGGCCTGGACCAGGGCTGTGCTTGAACTGGTACCAGCAGCCGCCTCCTGATTCCTGGAGCAGGGCAGCACCCCGCTGGGGGTCACACATTGCTCCTTCGGCCCTCCAGGTGATTCTGGGAGCATCCCATTCTCCGTATCACACCCCTTTCTGCCCGAGTAACTGGAGTAGTTCAGTAGGGACCCAACAGCCCAGAGACCTCCACCTCCCATCCCCCGCAGCTCGCCTCGGGGCAGTCAGGTCGGCTTGGCCCACTCGCACCTTATCCTAAACAGCATCTGGGAACCTCGGCTACTGACCCGTGCAACCGTGACAATGAAAATGCTCGCCCCTATCCTCACTGCCTGCCCAGGCTTCTGCGCCACCCCTCCCCGGGTGCCGCTTCCACAGTTTGAGAACCACCAGAAGAAAACAGTGCCTTAAAGGAACTCCCCGCCCACCCCTACCTCGGCCCACCTACCGTCAAGTCCAAGGACATCCAAAAGCTCGGCCCAGACTTTCCACAGGGTCTCCACAAACATGTCCACTCCCAGCACGAACCTCTCGGTCAGCCGGCTCAGGACCTGCGGGAACAAGAGGAAGGTCATGGCCGACTCGGCCGACGCTCCGCTGCTCCTAGTCCGGCCAGGTTTGTCCTCAGATGAGAAAACACAGCCAGGGGATGACCAAGAGCACCACCACCCCAGGAGGGGCCAAGGGGCCCAGGGCATTGACGGGAGCTCGGGACTAACTGTCAGGGCACGAGAACCCAGCGAATCTGGTCAAACGTCTTTCCCACCGTTGGAGGGATGCTTTCGCGGGAGCGTCCACGTCCTGCTCCACTAATGCTCCCTTGGGGAAGGTCTCACCTGCTTTCTCATTTTTAAAAGGTGGGAGTTTCTGCAACCAACCTATTGCACCTGGAGGCTGGGCGCTGCCACGTGGGAGCAGCTAGGAAGGGTGAGAACTTGAGTCGTGTCAGCATATCTGGGTCAGAGACCCACATCCAACCCGGCTTTAAGGACCCGGGGTTCTCCGCGGGATTCCAGAGACCCACTGGGCTGGAGTAGTATGGATATCAGGTGCAACCTCATTTCACCATATTTTTGTCTGTTTTGGGGGTGGGCAGGTAATTAGGTTTTATTTACTCATTTTTCTAATGGAGGTACTGGGGACTGAACCCAGGACCTCCTGCATGCTAAGCATGTGCTCTGCCACTTGAGCTACACCCTTCCCCCTTGAAGCGTTTTAAATCAGACGTCCTGGTTGGAGGGATGCGAGGGGAGGGGAGGAGCAGGGTTGAATCAACGGAGAGCAAGCGATACCAGTAACCTCCGTGCTAGCGCTGTGGCCTGGCCGAGCACACAGGCCTGGGAGTTTAACTGCCTGGGTTCAAAGGCAGATTTGTTGGGTGGCCATGGGCATTTTATATCTGCAATACATACCAGGGCTCCAGCTCGCAAAGGGAGTTAATCATAGTTTCCATCTCATCTGGTTATTGGGAGCATTGAAAGGGATATTGATGTGCGATGCTTTGGTGCCCAAGAGGTTCACAATGCCCACTGACACCCCACATTCCAACAGAAGCACTGACCCCGATGTGTCCTCGCCGCAGGCACCGAAAGGATTCATATATTTAGAGGCCACGTGGCCATGAGCTGATCCACAGATAAACCTGGTACGGCCAGACGACGGGATATTATTTAGCCACAAAAAGGAATGAAGCACTGACACTGCTTCACCATGGAGGGACCTTGGATGCTTTACGCTAAGGAAAAGCAGCCAGGCGCAAAAGGCCATGCATTGTGATTCCATTTCAATGAAGTATCCAGAACAGGCAAATCCATAGAGACAAGAAAGTAAATGAGTGGTTGCCAGGGGTTAGGGAGAGAGGGGATGGCTAAAGGACCTCTCTCTGATGTGATGAAAATGCTTCAGTGTTGACTGTGGTGACAGTTACATAACGCTGTGAATATAAGTGAAAACCGTAAGTTACATACTTTAAATGAACGAACTGTATGCTGTGTGAATTGCACATCAATAAAGCTGCTGCTTAAAAACTGGAAGGGTTAAAAACTAATGGAAGGGTTGACATAAAAAATATATATACATCACGTAAGAATGCCAGAAGGGTGCCCCTCTCTTTGGCGGGGGGATTTGGGAGAATGCACCCTCACCTGGAGAGAAGGCACGTTGGTGTTGGTTTAGTTATAAATCGTTTTTTGTTAAAGAGCTTTATTGACACAACATTTACATACCCTCAAGCTCACTTCTTTAGAACGCACAATTCAGTGTTTTGGTTTTCTTTTTATAGAAATTCACCATAATCTAATTTTAGAACATTTCTATTGCCCCCCAAAGAAGTCTTGCCCCCATTAGCAGTCACCCTCCACCCCCTCCTCCCCTCCAGCCTAGGCAACCACTAATCTTCTTTGTGTC